ATTATCAGAATGATGGTGTAAAGGGTAAAATCATTTTCAAGGTTCTATTTCAAGTCTATTAACAAAGGAGACAATTGATACTACAAACAAATCAATTTATCCTTTGCCGCCAGTTTTACTAGTGCGAAATGGTTACTAAAATTGAGTCCTGTGAAACTAAAACGATCACCACATTGCCTCCTGGGTATTTGAGTTTACTCATATTTAATCAACAAGTATTGTTTTAGCTTTAAGTGATATGTTACAACACTGGTTTGTATACAAACAAAAACATTAATAAAATCTGTAAGTTGCAGTCTTGTCTGTTTAAGCACCCAGAGCCTCTAGGTTTTCACTAGCTGTAACATGACAGAAGCTGCATGCCTCAGTGCTATCTCTGAGAAATACTCCAGACATGCCAGTGACCGGCCCCCTCTACTCACACACAAGTAAACACACAGCACTGTTCTTCCCCGCCTCAGACTCAACACAGCCATGGCTATTTCTGTTCCACAGACTGATAGCTCCAACTGAAGATCATTGATTTTACGGGAAGCCGTGTTTACAGGCTGAGTGCCATCGACCTGAGGTGACTTTTTGCCTCCTGCAGTTGGAGCGATACTGGAGCACCCTTATGTCTGCATTAGCAAAATAGTGGACACAATATTTACACTTTTCAATAAACAACAATGCTATATGTGGTTAAGTGTTTGATCTACAGTGTTGGGGATCAACAAGAACTTTATTTAATTAATACAATTATAATAGTATATTGTCTATGGCATTGGTAGACAAATGTTTTTGACACACAATTCCATGATAAAGTGACAGAAGCCTTGGACATTAAAAGATGATATGCAAATGTCCTTTCAAACTACTCAAACTATTGTCATTTGTGGTTTCATAAAATGGTAATTACAATTAAAAAGTAACTTGTTAGTGTATAGTTTTTTTAAAAGACATTTGTTTATTCCCAATTCTGTATAATAAATATTCCTCAGACAGAAGTCTGGCAGTTTAGGACCAGCCTTACACATTCACATGTAGCATAGTTACACTTTAGTTGAGTATCAGGTCTTTGAATTAAGCAGAAGGTACAATTAGTTATGGTAGAGAATATTCAGTATGGTAGAAAAAACAGAGATATATATACTTGCAATGGCGTCTTAGAAGTAAAATCCCTGTGTTAAAACCAGAATTTAATAAGCCATGTCAAGCATTAAAATGGACTTATGTTAAAGAGTGCAATGCATGCATTCCTTTATTGGTGATTAATTGGAACAAACCTAGGAGATAAACCTGTGCTTCACTCTGCCTGAGGACTACAATGGTTTCCCCCATCAATGAGCATGTCCCTAGTGCAACATCAAAGGCCTTCCCCTGCTTTATCAATAAGAACCCTTCCTTCCCACATCTTCCTGTAACTTGCTTAGTGTTCACGCCATTGATTTTCCAATAAGCGCCCCTTACCCTGCGGTGGCTGGCCAGGCTCTGATGGCTCAGAGACCAGACACAGACAGGCAACATCACTGAGGAACAATTGAAAATAAGATCTGGTGTATTGTTGGGGGTCCTCAAGGTGTATTAAGGAACTGGTTTTCTATTTTAAAGAGGTGTTCCCCTGCTGCTGCATGCAGATAGGAGTAAGGGCTGAGGCTGCATTATGCCCATAGCCTAGCAGTATTCACAGCTAGAGCTAAGTGAGAGTTAATTCCCTCAGGAAACCCTGGAGAGCAGGGTCCTCTGGAGGCAAGGCCCGGCCTTCAGGCAGGTGATCAGGCATGCTTATAATCAGATGCTTCCTTAGCCTTTAATTCCTCCCTCAGTTGGCTGGTAAATCCCCACCTAATGAAAGGACCCATAACTTTAAACTTATCTCATTTTCCATCCCTACCAAATGACACCCAGACTCACTGTCTGACAGTGTTGATTAGAACTGAGGCTTTTCACAAGGTTCAGCCTTATCAGCTTTGTTAAGGTGGTGGGATGGAGTGGGTTCCGACTTTTTGTTTATTTATTTATTTATTTTTGTCGGTGGAGAGTGAAAGACGGAGCAGGGAGACCCTAGCAAAAAGCCTTTGAAGGCAGGTGGCAGCAGGAGTGTGAGTTCTACGGTCAGGATCTGTGCATCTGCAGCCTTTCCCTCAGATCAGCACAGGAATCAGGCCTTTTATTCTCTCTGATTATCTACTATTGTTAGCTAAGGCTTGTTTTGGCTAAATGCAGTCTTTTTATTGTCAATTCAGTGGGCCCACATTTCGAATTATAATACAACACAAGGGCACAGGACCTAGCAGGCTCATTTGTGTAAACTGCATTAGTGCCAGTATGGAAAAGAAAATTACAACTTTTTATATATCACAGTATACTGTATAATATGTATAATAGCGTATACAGTAACATCACTCAGTGGTAGTTACCTTAAGTGGGTTGTAGTAACTAATACTGTGAGCACACAGAGACACCGGCTTCCTTCACTTCCCCTCCTCTTCGACCACGTCTCTTTGTCTGTCTCCTGGACTTGTTTAGTGCCTCCCAGAGATTAAAGCTTTTCCTGCTTTAAACAGGTGTCACTGAGCCAGGCAGACCTCTGAGAGACAAACAGCGTTATATCAGTTGGCCCATCTGCGACTTGCCGACTCCAGACAATCCCATTGCTCATCAGTAACCACTGCAGGTTATTGAATTACACCATCTTGATTTTAAAGGGCAATCCTGTTTTCTGTAAGCAGTGGACACACCAAGCTGGCACAAAGCTCCAGCACTGATCAAGAGTCATCGTGTTTTCCTGTCTACTGTTAATTGCTTCAGGTATCTTACAGCAGTAATGGGAATGGATGGGTACATAACCTTAGTACAGTACACTGTAACCAAACAGTTTATACTCATCAAGGAAAAGATGAGAGTAGAGAACTTTAGAGGTCATTGTCAACTAATAGAGGCCCATGGTCCCCAGGTCTGGTTAAGACAGGCAGTGACTGAAGGAGAGGCTGATAGATGAGATTACAGGAACAAGGTGTGAAACTCCCCATGTACAGACAGGAGATACAGAGACGTTTTCCTAAAAGGCAGTTCTTTTACACAAGCCTCATTTTCTGCTTTTTTCCTTTCATTTTGTGCAGTTTATCCACATGCTTTTAGTTTGAGGAATCACTGGTTTACATATGGCATAATTTTTTTTCTTGCATTACTCTCGCTGCCCTCAGTCCATTTGTGTGAAATGGCTGTTGAGCTCATAGCCGCTTATTAATGGAGCAGATAATAAATACAGACCAGTAGGGCTAGTATCCCCTCACTCAATATGGCAGCCATCTCTAAATCATGTCTGGCTGTATAAAGCAATCTTGTTAATAAGCCTGCCTGTCTTGATATCTTTTTTGTATGCAAACTAAGGGTCCAAGGGTCAGGGGTGGGGGGTGCAAGTGTACAAACAAAACAATCAGGTGGACCATACCAACAGATAATTTCTGTCCTGAGGTATTTATGCCAGTAATGGCTCTATGAGCTTTGCCATATTTAAATTTCTGTAATCAGTCATTGCTTTATTATCTTAGTGTTTCTTTTTTTTTTTGTTACCTTTCCCAAAAATGTGCTCTTCTAGAATGTTATTGTTCACTCCAAAGCCCAAACACAAATGCACATCTTCAAAATGGGAGTCCGTTATTTTTGTAATTCAATTGCATTTAGGCTCAAGAGGTCTCAAGGTATGTCGTGTGGGAGGTGAGCTTCATCAGACATTCATGACGAGTCAGACAGACATTATCAATCTCTCCTCTCCCTCAGTGGTTAATATGTTAGGGTGCAGAGGTAGAATCCATTCTGATCACAGCTGAAATTTGCATCCCTAAGTAAATAAGTAAATAAATCAAGTGCAAGCACTGAATGTGCTAATCAACTGGGACATGGCTGTGAGCTTGGTGCCAGGAAACTTTGCTCATGTAATATTCAGTACTGGTGGGTTAAAGGGCAGCCCAGAGTTATTGGTTTCAGCCCGATTGCCCCCTTTAATCAATGTTGGCTGCATCCCTTTAATAAAATTATTAGCTCAGCAGTATCTTGCGCTATCATTTTATCTCTTCTGTGCTCTAAATTGCAGCCTGTGTTGGGCCTCTCAGATGCTCGGGGCATGGCCAGCTCCTGAAAGCTCAATTCCCATTTATTATTTCAGAGGCGGAAGATGGCTGCAGTGTTTGAAACCAGGCTGAGCGTAGAGGTTATTGGATGCAAGATCTAAACACAGCTGCAGTAAAGTCCATACCCAGCTCATGTATTTTGGGCTCATAGAAAATACTTCCTTTTATTGCTCTTGTTAGAGTTCATACACATCTATCTCAATAATGCAGATGTATTATATTCTTCATATGTGTGCACAACTTGAAGATGGAGTGATAATGGTGATACTGTTAGGAATTGCTTTTTTAGATTAAGTTTCTTCTCTTTCTTCTGTTTATGTAAATGTACAATGTGCTGATGGGTGGCTTCTCTGTGTCTAATTATCTCACAAGAAATCTATTTGATCCATTAAGTTAGCCTGTTTCTCCTTTTTTTCTGAGTGCAAGTTAATTAAAAACGGATGTAGGATTTGCAGAATATAAGATTAGGGCTGTTGTTTGGAAGGTGAAGATAACAGATGGTACCTTCCTGATATGGCAGGAAGATGAATCATGTACGGCTTATTAGTGCTTGTCTCAGGTATTGTGTTTAAGTACCTAATCTAAAGTAATGAGCTTGCTGTCAGTTTTCCAATTATATCTCAGACTTTCGTCTTTCACCCACTGCACCATACATTTGATTTTCTTCATTTAAGGTTCCTATACATATAGTGCCTTTCATATTTTCTGTATCTGGCCTTTTCTTAATAGGCTTAGTAATATTTAAGACATTTTTAGACATTTGTTTTCAATGTTAGCATGATAAGTGAGTTGTGTGTGCTTATGTACAGTATATGCAGATATGTTTAATGAAAACATTGCATTTACAGTAATAACTTTATAAATCTTTCCCAATTTGTGTCTTTTCAGGCCTGGATGCGATGAACGCCTCATGTAGGCATCAGCATGGACAGCTGTGAGTCTCCCGTGGTTTCTGGGACAGACGATGGGCTCAGCTCCTCCCAGCAGCAGCAACTACCACAGCCTTGGACCGATCACTCTAGCTCACAGGTTCCTTGCACTAACAAGGCCAAATCTCTAGACTCCCTGTCTCTCTCTGCTCCCTATCCTTCTCAGTCCCAAATCCCCAGTGCACCTCATGACGAGGTGAGAGAGCTACAGTCCCAGCAGCAGCAGCTAAAGCAGACATCACCCCAGGCCCACTGTGATAGCTCTGCCACAGGCCAGCTGCATCCCAAAAGAGAGGGTCTTGAGGAAGAAGAGAAAGAGGGAGTGAGCTGTGGAGAAGAGGAAGAATCTGAGGACTTAGATGAAATGGAGATTGACAGCTGTTTCCCAAGTCTTCAACCTTTTCCTGGGATGCCGATGGCTGCAGGGGGAGGGGCCATGCCCACTCTTTTGCGTCATCAGCCCATACGACAACAGGGAGCACCTGAAAGTGGGAGTGAGGAAGGGGACGAAGAAGAGGAAGATGATAGCAGTGATGTGGAGAACCTGGCTGGAGAGATAGTCTACCAGCCAGATGGCTCGGCCTACATTGTTGAGAGCCTCAGTCAGTTGATCCAAAGTGGTGGGGGCATGGTACCTGGCCTGCTCCCTACAAACTCTATCACCAGTGGGGGAAAACCGGGGGAACCTGCTGGGACTTCATCTTCGGTCTATCCTCAGATCATCAACACGTTCCACATAGCCTCATCCTTTGGGAAGTGGTTTGGCAATTCAGACCAAGGTTTCCCCAATACCTCAACCATGGCAGGCTTGAGCCCTGTCCTGCACAGTTTCCGTGTTTTTGATGTGCGGCACAAAAGCAACAAGGATTACCTGAACAGCGATGGGTCTGCCAAGAAGTCCTGTGTATCCAAAGATGTTCCCAACAACGTGGATTTCTCCAAATTTGATGGGCTAGCCCTATATGGCAAGGGTAAACCCATTCTCATGTGTTTTCTCTGCAAGCTGTCCTTTGGCTATGCGCGTTCCTTTGCCACTCATGCCGTCCATGATCACCGCATGACACTGTGTGAGGACGAGAGGCGGCTGCTAGGGGACAAGCATGCATCTGCCATTATCCAGGGTATTGGGAAGGACAAAGAGCCCCTCATCAGTTTCCTGGAACCAAAAAATAAGAGCACTCCTCTGCCACCTACCCTGCTCCCCATTAACTCTGGCCAGAGCTTCTATGGCACATTTAGTGGTGTCCATCTGGAGCCTGGAAGCAGCAGCGGGGGCAGCGAGACCCTCCTGAACAAAGACTCTGACTCTGGCCTCCAGCAACAGCAGCAACAAACCCCTCTACGCTCAGTCCTCTCTCTTGGAGGGCTGAGCATTCCCAAAGCATCCACTCTTACCTCATCCCCAGGCTCTGCCAAAGACTCCAGTGCCCTGCCCAAACAGGGAGGGAGAACAGAGGAGCCTGCTGGGAAAGAGCTGGCATGCAAGGGAGAGGATGGGGACACTCGAGAACATGAAAACAAGATTCACCTATCCAGCCAAATGGGGGGCTCGGAAGAAGAAGAGGAACTGTTATTAGGGGAGGAGGAAGATGAGGTAGAGGCAGAAAGCACTGTAGTGTCCTGTGGTGGTAACAGTAGCAGCGGCGAGGGTGAAGCGGGGGAACCAGCTGTCTCAAACCAAAGCATTTCCAAATCTACTTTATTAATGCCTAGTAGCGCTCTCCAGCCTTCTGCCTGCACCTCTGCAGTCAGTTCCACACTCAACAGCAAAGCCCCTGCTTCCACTTCCTCCTCTGTCAAGGAAGGGGGTTCAGCTGCAGATGGTGGGGGGAGAACCTCAGAGCTCCCTCTGAGCTTTAACTGCCAGGGGCCCACTGCTCCCATGGCAATGGCGGCAGCTGCCATCAGAAGGAACGAGGATGACACTGCTGGCACATCCTCCTCACCTCTGTCCTCCAGTGCTGCTGCAGATGAAAGTGCCAATCGAGATAGTGCCACAGCTCCAGAACCAAATGATTGCTCAGCAGAGGGAGAGGAGGAAAACGGAGCCCTTCTGCACCATCACCACATGCATCACCATCATCATCACCTCCACCCTTCATCTCATGGCCACTCCCACCCTCTCCCAGGGGGCTCTTGTGACATAACAGGGATGGGTGAGTGTTCACAGAACCATGGGGCTGGTGGCAGTGGAGGAAGTGGGGTAGAATGCCCTAAATGTGACACAGTTTTGGGTTCCTCACGCTCCTTGGGTGGTCACATGACCATGATGCATTCACGCAACTCGTGCAAAACACTGAAGTGTCCCAAATGCAACTGGCATTACAAGTACCAGCAGACATTAGAAGCCCATATGAAAGAGAAGCACCCAGACTCTGGAGGCTCATGTGTATACTGCAGCAGTGGTCAAACCCACCCTCGTCTGGCGCGTGGCGAAAGCTATACCTGTGGATACAAGCCCTTTCGGTGTGAGGTATGTAGCAAAAAATGTGATGACATTAAGGGTTGCAGAAAAGTTTTGCTTTTTTTTTTTTTTTTTTTTTTTTTTTTTTTGGTTGATTTGTTGAGAAATGTAAAATTATGTAAGATACCAACTGATTTTGGCAATTGCATTAATGGCACTTCAGGAGAAAATGTCTTATCTTTTCTAGGTGTGTAACTACTCCACCACCACAAAGGGCAACCTAAGCATCCACATGCAGTCAGACAAGCATCTGAACAACATGCAGACACTACAGAATGGAGGTTCTATTGCTTCTGCACAGGAACAAGTGTTTGGGCACACCCCAGGGGGGGTGGTGGCTGTCCCCTCAGTGACCCAGGCCAGTAGCCATCATCCTTCCCATCACCATCCTACGCAGTCCTCCACCCATATGGCCGGACCGTGTGGGACCCCCTCCCCAACCAAACCGAAGAGCAAACCTACTTGGCGGTGTGAGGTATGTGATTATGAGACCAATGTGGCACGGAACCTGCGCATCCACATGACCAGCGAGAAGCACATGCACAACATGATGCTACTCCAGCAGAATGTGACCCAGATGCAGCATGGCCGACTTGGTTTGGGAGCCATGCCTTCACCCTCTGAGGCTGAGCTCTACCAGTATTATCTGACCCAGAATATGAGCCTTCCACCAGGCCTCAAGATAGACCCAACTGGAGCTGAGGCGCAGTTCCTGATGGGGAGCTTTCACCTGGATCCCAACATGGCCACTCTAGCCCCTGCACTTGGTGAGCTCCATTTTGCCTCACTTGCTCTCAGAAATGCCCATAGTTGCAGACAGAATCACCTCGTATATTTCAGAGCAATTTCTTCCATGTGGAATCAGTTTCAATTCATCTTGGTGTTGATTGCTAATTCATTAATTAAACAGAACATTTTAATGATTTAACAACACACAATGATGAGCAGTAAATTTCACATATTGCCTCTGTCCACTGCTATGAATGTTTGGTATATCACCTCTTTAGTTTAGGCAGCTGCCTTTCTTTCTCATGCCCTTAGATATGCTTGCCCTTGTGAACCTGACATTCTCATTCATTCGTTTTACAGAGTGTCACTGAAACATGAGAAGGAGAGGTGAAAGAAATATGATCCCCTTTAGACGAGTTCACTGGGGGATTTACTGTACTATAGACCATCTCCTTATTTTCATATTGATAGTTTACATGGTAGTAGTCATCATGACAGTATGCCTTCAGTGCCTTAATCTCACATCCGTCGTCTTTCAATTAGTTTCAGCTGTGAATATACAACTTTAAATGTGCTTTGTAGCACGCACACATTTTTAGGTCATTTGTTTTTTCTCTCACACAGTCCTTAACAGGGTATCTAAATATTAATGTAATTTTGACTGAAATTTAAAGATCACTTTATGATACCCAGATTCCCTCAAAAAGGTGAGATAGAGGGCCAAATCTCTTATCTCGCCCTCTGCCTCAGGGACCAAACTTCAGCCTTTTTCTGACATTTTTCCC